AAGACAAGACAAGACAAGACAAGAGAATTAGAATTAGAATTAGAATTAGAATTAGAATTAGAATTGAAATAAAATAGAAATAGAATAGACAGTGGAATGGAATGGAACTAAATGGAATAGATTTTGAATAGGATAAGATAGGATAGGACAGAATTTAGAATATAGAATAGAATAGAAAAGTAAATAGAATAGTATAGAATAATAGTGGAATGAAGAATTAGAATAGAACGGAACGGAATGGAATAGAATAACAGAATTGGAAGGGACCTTGGAGGTCTTCTACTCCAACCCCTGCTCGGGTAGGAAACCCTACACCACTTCTGACAAGTGACTGTCCCGATCTCTTCTTGAAAGCCTCCAGTGATGCAGCAACCACAAGTTCTGGTGGCCAGCTGTTCCACTGGTTCATTGTCCTCACTGTTAGGAAGTTCCTCCTCAGTTCTAGGTTGCTCCTCTCCTAGTTTCCATCCGTTGATTCTTGTCCAGTAGAGTTGTAATTATGTCACAAAGAGGTCAAACCCTCTATATGAGCAGTCCTTGACTTACAACGATTCATTTAACAATTGTTCAAAGTTACAGAATCCTGGGGTCATGTGATCACCATCTGCAACTTTCCCTGCTGGCTTCCGACAAGCAAAGACAATGGGGAACCTGGATTTGCTTAACAACTGCAGTGATTCACTTAACAACCATAGCAAAAGAAAAAGGCTGTAAAATCAGGCACGTCTCTCTCTTAACAACTGTCTCGCTCAGCAACAGAAGTTCTGAGACTATTTGTGGTCATAAGTCGAGGACTACCTGAAGTTAGACGGTGGGCTCCCCTTTTTAGTTCAAACGGAGGGTTGGTGTGCCATTTCTCAACGATGCCTGAACTTGAATTCTATACGGAGAAAGGGATTGAGTAGATGACCTCAAGGGACCCTTCCAATTCTAGCCTTCGAAGCCTCAGCTATGGAAGTTTTGTTTTGTTGTTTTGTGTTGTGTGTTGTGTGTGTGTTATGGTGCGTGATGTTGTGTGTTGTGTGTGTGTTGTGTGGTGTGTCATGTGTGGTGTGGTGTGTGTGTTTGTGTGGTGTA